AATCTGCTAAAAATCAGGTTACTTAGGTTTAAATCGAGCTTAGTAACAGGGGAGTGGGGGTGAAGGCAGAATACAGTAGAGAAGGAGTTAACAAGAGGGGCACTAAAGACACAACCTTGATCTGTGCACAGGGCCTTGGCTATACTCTATTTCTCTGTAGATCTTACATAAGTAGATATGCCCAGAAGGCTTGGTGGCTAATGGAGTTTCTGTGGTCAGGGAGCCATGTCTAGGGCAGGGGGCCAAGGTGGTGGGGGGAGGAGGAAGCATGAAGTGAAATCTCCATCTATATCCAGCTAATTGAAATGGGGTGTGGGGGGAGCAGGAGGAAGTGGGGCAAGTCTTGACATGGGGAGGGTAATCTGGGCTACAGAGGGAGCTGCAGGGAGTGTGCTGAGAGATTTATTTGTATATAAATTAATCTGTACACCTCACAAGGGCAGGACTGTGCCTAGCTTCTGGGAGGCAGAGAGTGCTGACTCAGGGAAGCAGAAGCTTCTGCCTAGCCCCCTTCTCCTACCTTGGTGCCCCAGGGCTTCTGGCACCCCCACACTCAGCTTTCATCCTGTATGACTTCACTGTATACCTGTCTTTCTCCAAAGGAAATCACCTTGGAGCAACTTTTCCAGAGAGGGCAGAGTGGCCCCTCTAGGATGTCCTTTAGTTCTGGCAGTTCAGCTTCCAAAAGCACTTCTAACCACAGTCAGCTGCCTCTGGACATCTCTACAAATCCCTAGCTCCCAACTCATTTTTACAGCCTAGCCCTTGTGGTTACTTTTTACTATCACCCCCTGACTCTCTTACAGGAAGCCAGACTTGGCTGTTCCCACTCCAGACAGAAACGTGTCTGGGTTTGTGATGCAAACCCCTCTCCCAGGTGTCTAGACTTCTCATGTTATGGGGTCATTCCCAGAACCTGAGAAGCCAAGGTCAGGGATTTGGGTGAGGGTCTTGCCTCCAGGTCTTGTAGGCAGTGGGAGTGGGAGAGAAGTAAGTCAAAAGTTGAGGAGGGAACATTTAATTTTTTTTTTATTTCAAAACAATGAATTAAAATAATTTCAATATATAAAAGGAAGGCATGCACAAAGACAGATCCAGTGATGTCTCTGCATGGGAACTAATAGTGACCAGAGAGGCAAGGAGAGTTTTAAAAAATCATAAACCAGGCAAGGGTTTATGACTCACCTTCCTAGGGGGCCAAGATGAGGAAGGAATGGTATAGACAGAGCCTAGTAAGCTTCTCACTTCTTCTGCCACATGGTCCAGATTCAATCTGAGAATCTGTACGGTGTCTCCTAGTGAGGGATAGGCGCTGACAGGGGACATAAAGACTGAATAAGGCCCCACCTTTCCTCTCTAAGAGCTCACATGCAAGGAGAGAGGACCAACCAGGTGCAGACGAAATGCACAATTACTTAGCTCATGCTGTGCTAGGAGTTTAGCTAGCAGCATCAATGAACACTGTGGAAGCCCCCAAATGGCAGTGGTGGAATTCTTCCTCAGGTCACCTAACATTATTAGCTAAAACCTGAGTTGGGTCTACGGCCAGGCTACCCTGTACAAGCCTGATCCTGTCTGATCTTGGAAGCTAAGCAGGGTCGGGTCTGGTTAATACTTGGATGGGAGATCACCTAGGAAGACCAGGTGCTGTAGGCATAAAAAATAAAAAAAAAAATAAGAGATTGTAAGCTGACAAGGTCCTTGCAATCTATGAGGTCAACCAAGGGTTGCCTTGCCTTAAAAAAAAAGAAAATCTGAGTTGGCTCTTGAAGGATGTATATGATGTGACCAGGAGGACTGAGCAGGCAGAGGGAGCATGGTTTTCTCTGGGACAGTTGAGTCAGGCCAGGTACATACTTCACACCTTGGTCAGGGCTTATGCTGTAGTCATTCTGACCAATTTAGTCATACAGGTCTCAGGAAATAACCATCTCTTGGTCTTGTGCCTAATAAACTCATATGATGAGAGAAGGCATGATGACGACAGCCTCCTTCCACAGGATTATCTGTCCACAAACTGTAGATTGATGCTCCTCTCTGGTACCAGGACAGTCCGGGTCATTGGTCTGATTGGGGCAGCACCTGGCTCAGGCTGCACCTCAAAGTGGGTCAAGATCTGGAAAGGGAGGAAGAAGGCTATCACTGAGAGGGGTGGATAGTAGTGGGCTTGATTGGTAATGGGCATTATTAGTGTCAGGATGGTCAGGGTTGGAAGGGCACCTGTGCCTGGTGGTAGACTTCTTAGTTAATCAGGATATGGGATTATGGTATAGGGAAAAAGATAGTCCACATACCCTTGCTCACCCTCCAGGCCTAAAATGGGATTAACATATTTCAGAGATTAGGTCTACCAAGTCGTAAATGTTTTCCTATGCTTGTCACTGAGTCCACAGCTTTAGAGGGTTAGGATCTCTCCCATTTGGGGAAGGTAGAAAGTCTAGATCACTCACCTGGGCCAAAGCCATTTGTAGCTCAAGCTCTGCAAGGCGTCTCCCTATGCAGCTGCGCTTGCCAAAGCCAAAGGGGAGAGAAGCAAATGGGTGGAGGGCTTGATCCTCCCCCAGCCAGCGAGCTGGACGAAAAGCATTTGGCTCTGGGAACTGGGTGGGGTCCCTTGAAGTGGCATAGTGACACAGCGTGACCAGTGTCTGGTGGGGGAGGAACACAAACTTGTCAATTTGGGCCCAGGAATGAAGGGAGGAACATGGAGAAGAGGATATATGGATTGGGATGATGGCAGGCTCTGCTTGGTGATGGGGAAGTTTTCTGGGCTGTTTTTAGAATGATTTCTCCTCAGCCCCATTATGTCCAAGAGAGAAGCATATAGGCCAAAGGGAGAGTTTGAAGGGCTTATGGGGAATGGTTTGAGAACAGGACGATGGCCAAGATAATGACTTAGCAAAAGGGACTCATAGGCTCTACTTACATTTTTGGGGATAATGTAGTCACCCACACGAATGTCTTTGTCTGGAACACGGGAATTTCCAGGTACCACAGGGTACAGTCTGGGTTGCAGAGCACAAGGGGAGACAGCAAAGTGAGGCTGGGGCCACTATCCTCCCTCTCAAGCCTGCAACTTCCAAACCCATTCTTGGCCAGGAGTAGAGTACCATTTTCCTCTGCTCTCTCTCTCCCTGTTCCCATCTACCACCTGCTTCCCTAGCCCTTTCCCAGCATTTTCTCTAGCTCTTCTTCTCTTGCTCCCTCACCTTAGCACTTCCTTGAGGACAGCCTTCAGCAGGGGCAGCTGGGACAGAGCAGAGGCTGAAAAGTGGGCATTGGAGCCTGGGCCCAGGGCAGCTGTGATCTCCGAGTGGAGTGCTGTCTGGACTTCAGGGTGCCGAGAGAGTTCATATAAAGCCCAGGAGAGCGTGTTGGACACCTGAGGGGACAGGTAAGAGCATCAGAGGTATTAAAAGTGGGAAATCAGGGGGCAGAATATGAAGCAGTCTTGAGTGTAGGAGGTGCTAAGCCAAGCTGGTCAGGAGGGCCATAGTGGATCCTCTTCAGCACTGAGGAGGCTAAGCTCTGAAAGGGGGGCTCCCAATATGGAGGGAGAACGTCACCGTGTCCACTCCAGCCAGTAGCAGCTCTGTCACATTCCCCAGGATGGAAGGGACAGGCAACTCTTCTCGGAACAGGAAGTAGGTCAGGTGAGCCCCAGATCCCATGTCCTCCTCAGGTTCTCCGTCGTTCCTCATGGTTATTTCAGCCTCTCGCCTCTCCACATGCTGCTGGGCTGTGGGAGAGAAGGTACAGGGGTGCCTCGCTAGCCGGGAACGACTTTACCGTTCCCCTGTCTCCACCTCATCTCTGTGCCTTACCAAATTCAAACATCTGGTCCCAGTCTCGGCAGAGGCGGCCCCAGGGTCCCGGCACGAGGCGGTGCAGCCAGTCAGGCATCGCCATGGTCAACAGCGTGGATACAAACACGGATCCCACAGCACGGATGAAAGTCTCTGTGTCTGGAGGCACTTCTGCCTCCAGGCAGCCTAAGCGCGAACCAAGCAGCACTGCAGCTATGCCTGGCCGGGAGGGGGCGCTGTCAGGGCACTGGGAGACCCCTGCGGGTGCCTCCTAAACTTGCCCCGACTGTCTTGGGACTCACCTTCCAGTCCAAACTTGTAAAACTCTCCAGCTACGTCCCGAACCAGGGCTGGCGGCCCAGCACCGCTTCCCCGTTGGCACCGCAGTCGCCGCACAAGGTCAAGGACCACATTGTTCAGGGGCCTGGCATAGCGGGCGGCCGCTTGAGGCCGGAGGAGGAGTGGGGCCAGGAGGCTGCGGAGCCTCTGCCATTCTTCGCCTTCCCTGCGGGGGTGCGGAGAGGGGGCCCATCAGGGTAGATGGAGGTGTGTGGAGACTGTTCAATGGGGCTGGCTGCAGTGGAGAAAGGAGCGTTCGGCTTGGGTGGCCAGGAGAAGGATTGTTTGCTCCCTCAGGGTACAGAAACTTGCCCTGCCTGCGCCTGCTTTTCATCCCCCTTTCTTATTACTCATTTCCTGCCCCAGAGGGGCCTAGGTTCCTAAGTAAGCTGAGTTACAGAATCTTATATTCCATCTATATCCTGGTACCCTAGCCCCTCCTGCTGGTTTCCAAGATTCTGGCCCCAAAAGATAAGGACATGAGTAGGAGTGGTAGGGTGGTGGTTGAGGGCTGGGTTCTACCTGAGCTTGGGTGAAACAGAAGGTTGGGAGCCCCTATTTGCCAAATGTTAGGGACACGGCCGACCTTCCTTCGTACTCCCAGGCTGTCTCCACACCCGCCACAGTAGAGGGACACAGTGGGGCATCTGGGCTTTGTGGCTAGAGGAAACTCAC